TGGTGTGTGTGTATATATATATATATATATATATATATATGGGTGTGTGTGTATGAATGTATACCACTCTTCTGTCTCGGGTCTATCTCTTCACAGATACTTCACTTCAGCGATGAGGTGTGCATATTAAAGGTCAGGTAATACAGAATATATGAATGGAGGATGAATCTTCATTCTGCTTCAATAATTTAGATCTTCTTGCTGTCCAAAAGGCAATAGTTCAAGGTCTAGATCTCTTGCAGAGAAATATCTTCATGAGACATTTATCAATTCTACAGTGGTCTCTTCAGTTACTTAACCAGGATATTAGGGTGGTACTACATGCCTTGTCTTGACAACAATTTGAGCCTTTAACCTCTTGTACCATGTATCACCTTTCCATTAATGTGTACAGCTGGCATGCTGATGTCATAGGTTGGAGTGGTTGGCATGTTTGCAGGACTTTTTATCTCTCTCCTTAGGTCCTGCTATATCCCAATAGGTCCTTTATTTCGAAGTCTTTGGCAACCAGGGAAGAGGGATACATCCCTCTTCACTATTCTTTTGCCGTCTATTCCTCACTTCTGTGATCGATTGTATGCTGGTCATTTGTTTTGTACGGTCAGGCTCAGAGGTGTTACATAGCTCACTCTGACTCCTTTTGTGGTGATAGTGTCGACTTTGTATTCGTTGGGATCCTTCAGTTTCCTGAGATTTATCCCCAATTCGTTAGAGGTTGATTTGCAAATATCCATATTGCATATTCTGGACTTTACAGATAAGGAATCTTCTGAGATTTACATCTCATCAGTTTCAGCACATTTTGCTGCCCATTTAACTTCTCCACTGAGGGACATCTTATGGGCTGGTATGTGGACTTCTACCAGTTCTTTTCTTTCGCATTCTTTACATGATCTGGCAGTTTTCATCTGTAGGTTTCCACTCCCCCCATGTCTATTTTAACAACATCTGCTAGATTATAAAGAGGAGGGTGTACTTTTGTCATCATCTTGTTTCTTTATTTTCCAGGGTCCTTTACTTCTTGCTTTCACAGGATCCCACTCTGTGGCAAGTGTTGCCCAGACAGGTGTGCTTTTATTATTCCAATTCTGCACTAGTAACCAATTTGACTATACTTACTACTGGTTGCAACAGGCTCTGTAGAAATGAGGTGTTCCATAAGATCATCTAGGTGCTTACCAGATGGTATTACCATATTATCGTGGACTATCATGAGTAAAGCTAAAGAGCATTCTGCCTGTCCTTGCCGATCATCAAATTGAATAAATCAGAGTCAGTTTGCTTTTAAAAATTTAGGGAATTTGATTTATCTATTGCATTGTTTCAAGAGCACTGTTCTTCAGGACTCCCCAATGCTCATTACTCCCCATATTCTACTAGTGGAGTAATGAGCATTGGGGAGTCCTGAAGAACAGTGCTCTT